CGTTTGCAGGATCCCGAGGTGCAGAAACACGCGTCCCAGATCCTGAGAAAGATGCTGGAGCAGGAGGAGGCCGAGCTGCAGGTCCGCCGGCTCTCACACACACACACACACACACACACAGACACACACACACACACACACAATCACACACACACGCACACACAATCACACACACACACACATTCTTGTAAGTACCTCAGACTGAGGACCAAGTATAAGGACTCACAAACTGAGGACCAGTAGTTCTGAGGGTCTTAGAAAGATTGAGTTTTCAAATTTTCCCACTAGGTATCACACACACACACACACACACACAACACACGCACACACACATACACGCACACACAATAAAGTGAGGACCAGGAAAATGTCCTCACTTTAAAAAAAAGACCTCACTTTGTTGGTTAAAAACGACTTATGGTTCTCACTCTGATGTGGCAACAAGGGGACACACACACACACAATCACACTCACACACACGCACACACACACACAATCACACACACACACACACGCAATCACACACACAATCACACAATCACACACACACTAGGCTGGTCCCGATCGGCTGGAGAAAACAGATCCAGACTCCAGATCCAGTTTTTATTTGTTTATATCCCAAATATAACTCTAGGTATTTTGTTATTTTAATATTAGTGTATTTTTGCTGAGTTACAGATGAATTTGCTTTATTTGTTTGTTAGTTTTCATGCGTTTTCCTTTTGGTTGCTGTTCCTCTGTTGTGTTGGAGCTCCCTCATGTGGAGAGTTTGGGGTACTCCACCCCTGTCTAAGCAGCCTTGATTTTGTTTACTTTTTAGTTGATTTGGGTCCAAATTTAAGTTGTTTATTATTTTACGTATTTTGTCTTTGACGCTTTGTTTATCATTTAGATATTATTTAACGGAAGTTTTTCCAATTTCTGAACACCTTTTGTCTCTTACAAAGCTAAAGGAGCTTGTTCAGGCTATTTTCTTTAATGATGAGAAATGAGTCGTTTAAAATGTTCCGATGTAAAGCTACGTTTGCATATTTAAAGAAGCTAGTGTGATTTAGGCTGGTCCCGATCGAATATCTGTATCCGATCAGCCGCCGATATTTGTAAAAAACTGCGGAGAAAATGCAGATCCAGACTCCAGATCCAGTTTTTTATTAAAAAACCCACAGGTCTGTGTCCTAACCATTAAGTTGTTATCAGAGTAAATCCCTGTTCAACATGAGTCTGACAACTAAGTAAGTAGATAAACAACTTTAGACTTTAACACATGCTCTGATAGGCCGGGATCGGGACATCCCTACACTGCGTTATTAAATTAGATCCATATTTTTACATTTCAGGCCTTCAACGCACTCCAAAAATGTTTCCAAAATGTTTGGTTTGAAATTCGTGGAAATTTGGTATTAGCCAGCTGACCAAAAGTAGCTAACCTGATTGGTTCTTTTCTGTCATGTGGGCTCAAGCCAGATATTTTAGCATTAGCATTAGCATTAGCATCTGTAACCCACAGGTCTGTGTCCTAACCATTAAGTTGTTATCAGAGTAAATCCCTGTTCAAC